CAGACCGCCATTTTTTCATTCGTGACTGTGAAGCAGGCCCGGTCAACTCTGTATGGACAGAATGAAATACCTACGGGGGCTGAATTTTATTATTGCCATTTGTCAGATAAATGTCTTGTTTCATAATTAGTAAGATTTTTGCTAAAGATAAATTACACTCAAAAATTTTGAATACAGAAATAATAATCAATAGGAAGATAACTATGCCTGTCGTATTTTTCTACATTATTATATTAGCATATCCTTGACAGTAAAAGAAAAATAAATGTTTTCTTTTTGTTTTGATTTTCAATGAGTAGAAAATTATATTTTTACTGGTAACACCAAATGCCTAAATGAGTATATATTTCTCTTTTCCCAGAATATGGCGTCACCGTATAAATTATTGTTGTTCATGATTGGTTGTTATGTTTGTTTTGCTTGTGTCTTTTACTAAGATTTTGCAAGTTTACGATGTTGAGTTGAGATTAATGTCCTTCATTTATATGATGTGCAATGTGTTAGTACAATGAATCGTAGTGAAATACGAAATAGTGACTCTTAAAAACTACGCTGCAATGGCGGATAAAGAAAATAGAAAAAGTGTTCTAAGTGCAACAGCATACCAACCATTGACAACGTTAAATTATTTAGGTTTCCGAAATTCGCAGTAAAGTATATTTTGCGGTACGTATACGATATACATATACACTATTTAATAAGTTCTAACCTTAAAGTAAATCTCTTGTCTAACTTCTATTGTTTTCTTTTTTACCATTTCAAAACAAATTATTGGTTTATAAACCATTAATTTGTTTTTAACCTACTTCTGATAATATTTGTATTTAATAATTATATCTTTTGTTTTCAGTTGTAAATTATGGGCGAAATATTATATTCCTTCCCAAGAGTAGTATACTACTTTAGCTTTACAAAGCTACATAATAAGCCCAGAATGCTGTGTGAAAAACATTTTCATGATGGTTAATTTAATAATGCAACCAAGAAAAAGCTCTTAAGCACTGCAGACCCGTGTGATGTAAGTAAAGTGTATAATGTATATGGTAATATGGTATGTATATAGTTTTCTTTAAGGATTACTCAGATATTTTATATGGGGATTACTTATTCAGGGAGTAGACTTTGATAGACTGTAAAGAAGATGATGATTATTCATATGACCATCATCTGGATCTTACATGGATGGACAGACCACATACAGTAGTTTGAATCCTGTTAATTCTTTCAACTAATTTATAATAATTGGATCGGACAAAGCATCCAAAGGATTGAAGTCTATAAATTTAGCACAAGCCTTTCCTTACATTATTAAATGCACTTTTATTATTACACACTGCATATTATTTTTAACAATCAAATTTTATTGTAAAACAACAACAAACCTAAGAAAGTTCCGGCATCACAATATATGAATAATTATATTTGATCCTAAACCTATCAAATTTAAAGGCACAACTTGTACAACGCAGTAGAAATACATGCATCAAATGGTTCTCAAACAGTAGATAAACACAAGATTTCTTTTCACATAGTTATTGTATTTACTATCTTATTTTGTTATATTAATTGTAATAGTGGGTGTATTATAGAGCAAGTTGGATGAACAAGATCCGTTCATTTATTTTGTATTGGTAGAAGGGTAATGTAGTGCCATGAGTAGGGACTGGTTTACTATGAAAGTAATGTCAATGAATATAATGTTAATTTAATTGTATATAATAATTTTATGATACTATGATACTATAATTTATTTCAGTTTTTATTTATTTCCAGACTAACAAAGTGTATTCCCATTTATTTTGTGGAATCACAAGCTGGTCCCTCGCAAATTATTGCTGCAAAAACACAAGCAGGATCTTCAAAAAGGACAACATTATATCCACTGAAGAACAACCACAAACATCAAAGCATAACACATAATGTTGAACCTGAAAAAGAAAGTATGTATCTCTATATGAAATTTTTTTAAAATGAAATAAGGAATATTTTTGTAATCTAATATTTAATATGTTTTATAATTTTGAATTAAAATTATTCTATTTATAAGCTGCATTCAATACTTAATATATTGCATATAATATAGAGACAAAATTTTTAGTGTCAATTCAGGGAAATAGATAGACAACCAAATATTATCAAAACACAATTATTATTTGTGAATGTTGCACTTTGCACTTGTGTGTAGGAGCTTATTTATTAATTAACTTGTTTTAGATTAAAATATTGATATTTTGGTTATTGTAGACAATCATTGTGCATATTATCAATTCATCCATGATTGTAAATCTTATTTCAATTCTTTATCATTGTTTACTTAAGTAATTGAAATGTTGTAATCATTATTGATTTTCTTTTCATGTTTAAACCCATCAAATGTCTTTATAGAAAGAACTAAGCTGCTGGAGAAATTGTTTCTTAAGTTGTGTATGTTTTTTATTTCAATTTGTATTTTTATTTTGAATAAATAAATAGAAATTTTGTAATTTTTGTTCTTTTATTTAGCGCTGGGATAGGGAAACCCAAAAAATACCTCAAATAAAAAAAACAAAAAAAGACCACATTCAAATTTTCCCGCCACACAAGAAGTGCAGGAGGCTGACGATAGATGGCGCTAGTGGTTATATATCTCATTTCTTAAATTTTGTATGAAGTTGTCGTTCTTCTCCGATAGGAGTAATAGTGTTCTGTGCTGTGAAGTTAACAAAAACGGTTTCATCTAGTGTATTCCATAGTGACATTTTCTGGTTAAAGGCGATTTGGATTGATCATATTTCGTAAGTACGAATTAACTTTAATACGAATACCGTCACATTTTGATAAGTGTCGTGTATTATGCTATATTATTTTCTAAAAATTGCTATGTTGGGACGACATACTGTCATTTTTATTTTAGTGTCGATGTTCGTGTTACGGAATTTTAACTATTTGTGTCGATTATTAATTCAGGATGTCATTATTCGTTTGTGTCATTCTCTCCGTTCAGCCAAACAGAGAGTTTGTATTTAATTGGAACAACCTACTGCCATTTTTTATGTAGTGTCGCTCTTCGTGTTACGGAATTTAAAGCATTTGAGTCAATTATTGATTCAGGATGTCATTATTCGTTTAGTGTCATTCTTCCCTTAAGCCAAACAGAGGGTTTGTATTCAATTGGAACAACATACTGACGTTTTTTTATTTAGTGTCACTCTTCGCGTTACAGAATTTGAAACATTTGAGTTGATGATTAATTCAGGATGTGATGGATGATTTTTTGTGTTCATTCTTCCTTTTAAGCCAAATAGCAAGCACGGAAAATAACATTGAAATCAACAAAGAATTTTGTTTAGAGTCATTATTAATTTGTATATTTTAATATTGGTATTTGGTTATTCATATAATTTAATGCTTCTAAAGTCAATTAATTAAATGATCTTCCTTTTAGTAATTTTGACCATTATTTGCTTGTTTTCAGACTTAAAAATGCCTTTACGAAATGCGAGAATAAACAAACTCAAGAATATTTCTAGAAGACTGCTTGAGGACACACAAGATGATAAAGAAGAATTCAAAAAAGTACGTGTCATGGTATCCAGAATGAACCTGTTCATTTAGAAAGCGCAAATACACCAACGACACACCAGACCCCCAAAAATCATTGTGAATCAACTCGCAATGAAGAAGATATAACCAAAATGCAAATGAAGATATTTCTAACCACAATCTTGGATTTAATATTGTGCCTTCCCAAGAAATCACACCTAAAGATCACCAGAAAGCTGAACAGGTTTCTTATTACCTTACCTAAAACAGTAGGACATTCTTACCTTATAATATCAAACTAAGAATACTATTCAGAATACATTACTTACCTTACCACCATTTGAAACAATAAGCGGTTAACTTAAAATAACTAAAAAAGCTTATTGTCTTTTCCTCGTTCTTCTCCTAGTCACCCAGCTAATAATATCACTGCATGAGTTATGAGATGCATTTCTTTTACTTATTGTGTTATTTAAAATAATTACTTATTTTAGGAGGAACCCCTTCATGTGGATGAAAACTTGCCTCCAAATGAACAACTTCATGCAGAAAGAAGAAATTCCAGGTCATCTACCTCCAGTCGTGCATCTCCACGTGATTTTTCACCTGCTTCAGACGATGACCCAAGTTACTTACCATTAAAACCATCCACTGCAAACCGTCGACGATCAGACTCTTCTTCTTCTTCAGATTCATCATCGAGCAATTCTTCGTCTAGTTCCTCTTCCTCGTCAAGTTCTTCGTCTTCGTCTAGTTCTTCTTTTGAATGTTTTTCGACGAGAAATCACCAGTGTCCATCGTTGGCGTCATTGGCTTCTGCCGCTGTAGACAAAATCTCTACAATCCAACCTACTACTATCAGAAATGTTGTAGAAGAAGGCAAGTCGAAAAAAATCAGGCGAATTAATAAAAAAAAGACAGCTCAGAATCGAAGAAATCGAGGACAATCATACGTATCTACATCATCAAAAATTGTTGCAGAAAGGGTGATGAGAGGACCCTGTAATGAAAAGTGTCGGCTTAAATGTCGTGATATTATTGCTGAAGATGACCGCAAAAGATTATTTGACTCGTTTTGGAATCTGGGCTCACTAACCCGTCAAAGAGATTATATAGCTAATAATTTAGTTAACGTATTTCCTAAGTATCAGTACAAAAGACTTAATAGCAGCAGAAAACCAAAGAATGCATTCCATTTCGAGATAAATGGTAAAAAAAAACAGTGTGTAAAATATTTTTTTAAAAATACTCTTGGAATTGGTGATCGACCTATTAGAACAGTGATAGACAAGAAGAACGAGCAAGGTATAGTAGACCCTGAACAAAGGGGCAAACACAGTAATAAAAAGACCATTCCTGAAGGTAATTTAATTGAAGTGCGACGTCACATCAATAGTATACCTCGTATAGAAAGTCACAATCTACGAAAACAAACTTCTAGAGAATTTATCGACGGAGGAAAGACGCTTGCTGATTTATACAAAGATTATAAAGCCGATTGCATTGAAAAAAAATATCGAATTTGTAAAAATACATATTTATAGAAAAGTTTTTAATACTGAGTTTAACATCAGTTTTTTTATACCCAAAAAAGATCAGTGTGATCTTTGCACAGCTTACAGGATTGCCGATGTAAAAGAAAATTTGGAAGATAAATATCAAGATCATTTAAAAGAAAAGGATGAAAGTAGAATAGAGAAGGAAAGTGATAAGAAAATGAGTAATTGCATTGTGTCTTGTTATGACTTGCAGGCAGTTATGACCTTGCCTAAAGGAGAAATATCAATCTTTTACTATAAAAGTAAATTAAATTGTTTAAATTTCACTATTTCTGAACTGGGAAAAGATCACATTGAATGTTTTTTTTGGACAGAAGTAGAAGGTCAAAGAGGTGTTAATGAAATTGGGACATGTGTGTTTAAATATTTAGAAAAAATGTCCTTATTACATCCAGATTTCGACTTTATTTTCTATTCTGATAATTGTTGTGGGCAACAAAAAAACCAATTCATGTTATCTCTTTATTTGTATGCAGTAAAAACTTTGCCAGTAAAATCTATAACCCACAAATTCTTAATCAAAGGTCACACACAAAATGAGGGTGATGCAGTGCATTCAACAATTGAGAGAGAAGTAAAAAAAATGTTAAGATCTGGCCCTATTTATGTTCCTGACCAGTACATTGCAGCAATAAAGAACGCACGAAAAAAAGGAAATGCATACAATGTTAATCTGATGAGCCATAGTGATTTTTACAATATTAAATGTTTATGTGAGAATATTTTTTCCGAGAATACGGGAGGAGAAAAAGTTAGGATAGGTGATATTAAAATCATTAAAATGGTGAAAGATTTAAATGAGTCCGCTACAGTCAAAATATTTTATAAGAAATCTTACTTAGAACAGAACTTTAAAGAGATTAGACTAGAAGCTAATAGGGTAGCTACTCGTAGGCAACATGCAGGTAGTAGGTACGAAGTTCCTAATGCCAACAATCTGTTGAAACCTCTTTATGCAGCTAAGCTTCCTTTGGCTGAAAGAAATAAAAACGACATCAAATCGTTGATTGATCAAAATCTCATTCCTAATTATTACGTTTCTTCTTATTTTGATAGAATCCTTTAAGAATAAGTTAGTAAATCTGATACGGTAATTTTCTTTATCTCAATTATTATTAAGTGCAATTTATAATAAGTAATTAAATATGATTGTGATATTACGTTATTTTAAGAGCTATTTGATTTAAAAAAGCCTTAATAAACAAAACAAGAGCCTTACTTTGAGTTTTTATCTTTAGGATGTCTAATATTGTGGATATACAATTTTTATAATTATTATCGTTTTTAACACCTGAGTGTATTGAGTCTGAAAATATCAATAAAAATGTGATTTATTTAGCTGTTGTCATCGCAAACTTAATGTTTGAGTAGTTTGTATTAAACTTTGCAATAAACTATATTTTCTAAATAAAAACTGTTTTTTCTTTGCGTAATGTATTTTTTTCTATTGTTATTATGTCGGTAAGTTGTCACGTAGTAGGAAATACTGAACGTTTTGATTAATATTGTTGCATGAATAAGTCAACTAGCGCCATCTAGTGTCAGGAACGAGAGCGAGGGGAGCATTGAGAAAATGACATCACAAATCGCTCAACTGACAGCGCCTAGTCGAAACTCGAACGCTCGGTACCTTCCGCGTGTTTACTTGAACATTCTGGATATTTCTTTGCTAATTCAAATATATAGGCGCTGCAAGATGCGATCGAGGCAGTGTTGATTTGGGCGAAACAAGCGAAGCTTCGGAGCGGAATAAAAGTGAATTAGTGTGTTTAAATTATTAGTGTTTTAACTCTAATTGTGTAAAGTAAATTAAAGTGTTAATTTAGGTAATTTTATCGGCAATTTTTATTGTCACGAACCTCAAGCTCGTAACAATTGGTGTCAGAAGTGGGATAAAATCATGCCGATTTTACCTAAGGAGGAAACGGAGGGTGTCCGTACCCGAAATCAACGCCAGCAGGAGACGGACCAAAGAAGATTTGGTGGTGCAACGCCGCTGACGTCGGAGGGCCAGCCGCCGGCTGCAGGCCCGTCAGTAGCTCCTCCATCTGCAGCACCCGATTTAGGTGCTCTGATGGTGATGCTGCAGGAACAGGCTCGCCGACAGGAGGAACAGGTCCGTCGGTTGGAGGAGCAGCTGCGGGGTGGACAGGATGAACAGGCTCGTCAGCAGGCGGAACAGGTCCGTCAGTTGAAAGAGCAGCGGCAGAGAGGACAAGAGGAACAGGCCCGCCGACAGGAGGAACAGATGCTTCTCATGAAGGACCTTCACGCTACCTTCGGGAAAGAGATAAGGGAGGTGAAAGATAAGGTTGCTCAACATGAAAACCGCCTGTCGGAAGCTGAAACCCGAATTGACCTAGTGAACAATCGGGTTGACAACGTAATGGCTGACATGAGGAAATCACTTGACGAACTCAAACTTGGCGAGGGAACTTCAGTTCCCGTAGTAGCTACTACACCTTCGCTACGTGGGTTCAAGGTGCCACCATTCGACGGGACTTCTTCCTGGTCAGCCTACAAAATCCAGTTCGAGGCTGTTATGAAGGCGAACGGCTGGAATAAAAGTCAGGCCATGACTGCTCTCACACTAGGCCTGCGCGACCAGGCCTTAACAGTTCTCGAAGCTCTCGGTGAGGAAGTGACTTATGAGCAACTCCTTGAGGCATTGGAGGCGAGATATGGCGACGCTCACCTGGAACACGTCTTTCGTGCGCAGCTTAAAGATCGTGTGCAGCGCATCAACGAAAACCTGCAGCAGTGGGCTCTAGAAGTGGAGAAGCTGGTGCGAAAAGCATACCGGTCTGTACGTGCGCTCATTGAAGGGAACCTGGTGCAGACATTCATCAACTGCATCCGCGATCTGGAAGTCAGAGCTGCTGTGAGGCTCGGGCACCACGAGACGCTTAAGGACGCCTTGGCCCATGCACTGGAGGTGGAAGCCGTGCGGCAGGATCATCGTTCCCATCGCGTCAGGGAGGTTGCAGCAGCTACAGTTCGCGACCGCAACAAAGGATACAGCCCAAGGTGCTATGGCTGTGGGGAAAAGGGCCATCTTCGATCCAGCTGCCCTAAGCGAACCCTAGAAAGGGAAATTGAACGATCTCAGGAGGGTAGTGCGGCCAACAGCACCGCCCAGCAGCGGCAGGGAAACGAGTAAAGGCCAGAACTGCGGGGCGGGTGCTGGCTGATGTTAAAAGAGCCCAAGGATCTCGATCTCACAAACCCATGATGGGAACAGCCTAATCATAAAGGGCGAGATCAACGGAATGCCGTGTAAGCTGACCATAGACACTGGAGCCTCTCGTACGGTTGTTAGTTCCCAACTTATAAGTCAGTTCCTTGGGGACTCCGCATACAACCGAGAACGCCTTAATTTGGTAACAGCCACCGGTCAGCGTATACCCGTCCGTGGAGAGAAGGAGATGGAGTTGAAGCTAGGCAACGTGATCTACCTCCATAATGTCATCGTGGCTGATATAATGGACGACTGTATCTTAGGCCTAGACTTTATGAGGAATAATTGTTGTGAGATCGACGTTAAGCAAGGTGTTTTGAAATGTGGACAGGAGGAACTTTTTTATGGAAGGTGCGTTACCAGGGAACGTGTACAGCATCAAGAAGATTGTTCTTCCGCCGAGATCGGAAACGATTGTTCCGGTTAGTCTACCTCGAAACGCTGGGCAAGCTCACCGTTGTGTACTTGTGGAAAGGGTAAACAATGACCTTCCATGGAAAGTAGCTCGAACCTTGGTCAGGACCACTGACATCTCAGGAGTACGTGTGCTGAACTTTTGCGACCGGGAACAGATTATAGAAAAAGGCACACTGGTTGGTACTTGTGAGGAAGTGGATTGGTTACGTCAGTGCCAATATATATCGAGTGGGACCCCCAGCAAGGATTCAGAAACGAGAGTGACCACACTTTTGGAAGACTGTCGCAGTGTTCTGTCCCCGAACGAATTGGTCAAGGCGAAGAAGTTGTTACTCAAGTACGCCGATGTATTCTCATCAAATGATGCTGACATAGGAAAGACTGGCCTAGTTCAACACAAAATAAACACAGGAGAGGAATTGCCTATCCGTCAGCGGCCAAGAAGATTGCCGGTAGCACGTGAAAAGGAAGTGGAAACCATGATTGAAGGAATGGTGAAGGATGGTGTTATTGAACCTTCCTCTAGTCCATGGTGTTCACCAGTGGTGCTGGTGAAAAAGAAGGATGGCAGCGTGCGGTTCTGTGTTGATTACCGCCGTCTGAACGACGTTACAAAGAAGGACAGCTATCCCTTGCCAAGACTTGATGACACGCTGGACATGCTTACAGGAGTAAAATGGTTTAGCACGCTGGATCTAAAAAGTGGCTACTGGCAAGTTGAAATTGACCCTAAGGACAAGGAGAAAACTGCGTTCTCGACGGGAAAGGGTCTGTGGCAATTCAAAGTAATGCCGTTTGGGTTGTGCAATGCTCCAGCAACGTTTGAAAGGCTGATGGAACTTGTACTTACCGGGCTAATTGGCGATGCCTGTCTGGTCTACTTGGATGATATCATCATCGTGGGCCGTACGTTTGAGGAACACCTTCAAAACCTGGAACGCATGCTCATGAAGATTCAGAGTGCCAACCTCAAGTTGAGCCCGAAGAAATGTTCACTATTTCAACGGCAAGTTAACTTTTTGGGGTTTGTAGTATCGGAAGAAGGTATCCGCACAGATTCAGAGAAAATAGCCGCTGTCAAGGATTGGCCGGTTCCAAAGGACAAGACGCAGGTTAGAGCATTTTTGGGTTTGTGCTCCTATTACCGGCGATTCGTGAAGAACTTTGCAGATATAGCCACACCTCTGCACAAGCTAACCGAGGAGAAGCGACAGTTCTGCTGGGATGAAAGTTGCAATATCGCATTCCAGGAGCTCAAGGACCGTCTGTGCAAAACACCTATTTTGGGATACCCTGATGCAAGCAAAGAATTTATAGTTGACACAGACGC